TGGATTTCTGTGAGTTCAAGGGCAGCAGGGATGCACAGGGTGAGACCTGTCTCAAAAACCAACAAAACAAAAACAGCCAGGCCCGGTGGCACACACCTTTAATCCCAGCACCGGGAATTAACTCAAAGTAGAATAATCTAGGAGGCAGAGGCTGGTGGATCTCTGGATCAAAGTCAACATGATCTACAGCCCGAGCTCCAGGACAGCCAGAGCCACATAGAGAAATCTTGTCTTGGAAAAATTAAGATAAATAAATAGACCAAAAAAACAGACAAGCAAATGAAAGCAAAATCCAACGTTTTAAACCTTTTCTGTGTTCCTCAGAAAGGAGGGGTACATAACTGATTTGTGAGGCACACATGAAAAGTCTCAAGTGCCGCCTGCAGAAGAACAGACATGCAAACTCACGTGTCAACCAGGAGAAGGGAAGAACCGCCGTGAGAAGGCAAAGAAAAGAACACTTCCTGACAGAAACCCTCCAGAAAGGAAGAGAGTTCGCAGCAACGTGGGGCAGCTGTAGGGATTTTAGGAATAATGATTTTGAAAACGGAAATCACACAGCCAGTCAGAGGGCAGATGTTTCGTTCGCAGAGGGCAAATACGGAACCGTACATCTCAGGGCCGGTGCCGGTACTGTACTATTTCAGAATGCCTGGACCAATAGCAGCACGCAGGCCTTCAAAACTATGGCTTCCTAAAGCCTGAGCTATCTTTATACAAGAGTAGCTATTTGCAAGTCGTTCACTGTTATCTACATCTGAACTGTCAAAAACCTGAACGGCAGTATTTCTTCATAGAATCTCAAGCACCTTAATTTTCTCAGTGTCTCAAGAAACTCAAGGAATGTTGCTAAGCTCCATCACGACACCAATTTTTCCAAGCATGTAGCCATTTCCGCATGTCTGCTCTAGGAAACATAGCCGCTAGTAAAAAAGCAAGTGTCGACTGATAACCTGGTGTGAAGAACGTGCCCTGTTACATACTACTCCACTTTGATTGACAGATGGGATCAAGAGTCACAGAATTCCACCAGGCAGCCCAATAATCCGCAAACCGGAGACTCATCCTGAACATGCTCCCTGTTCGTGATCACCCTTTGCATTTGGAAGTGGCTCTTACTCGGTCTGCATTTTTGATGATCCCAGTGGAGAAGATCATCTGCTGAACACCCCGAGTCCCAAACCTAAGACAAAGTGGAACAGCCTCTAGAGGAGAAACCTCAGCCCCTGTAGGTTTCTGAATAGACGTGAAAGCGATGGGAAGAAACTGGTGGTTTTAGCTGAGAGTGCTGGGGGTTTTCTCATAGCTATCCTCGTCTGTCCACAACCAACCGAGATGCCTGGGCAGCGCTGATATTCCACACGAAAGAACAGATGCTCGCATCCCATCTTACTCTACAAATGATCTGTAGTGTATAGTTTCTTCTAATGTTAAAAAAGGGAATAAAATTATGAAAGTGTAAAAGTGCAGAAATATAACTCCAGTCTAGAGGTCCCTAACTCCTGCTGTGTTTTTGGAATCACCAGGAAAGCTTTAAAACTGACCCCATATTCCCCCACCACACCCCTGGCATTAGTTACGTGCCTAGGGGTGGGTGGCCCAGAGCGGTCCTCAAGTATCCCCAGGGGTTTCTCTGTGTAGCCGTTTGGGACCTGTTGGCTTAGGATACAGGTAGCCTGCATGTGAGGACCACCTGAGCTGCTACCGCAACCACTGATGCCTGCTCTTCTCCACTGACCCTGTGAGGACAACCTGCCTGTCACTATTTTTAAAGCTCCCCAAATGCTCCCGCCCTGCATCTAGTGTACTGGACCACAGCTCTGGCAGACCATACAGTTGCAAAGAACATTGATAGTTTGAGGTGAGTTCTTTTATGGTTTGGTGCTCTGTATCTGCTGGTAGCCAATATATATATATATATATATATAAAATCACAATCAGAAGTCGGGTGGTGGTGGCACATGGCTTTCATCCCAGCACTCAGGAAGCAGAGGCAGGTGGATCTCTGTTGAGTTTGAGGCCTGTGGTCTATGGAACAAGAAGTTCCAGGACAGCCAGAGAAGTCCCGTCTCTATAAAACCAAAACTAAAACAACAACAATAACAAAATCACAATCAAGTAAAACATTTTTTTTTTTCTCGTGAGTTCCTTGAAAGACAGTAAGGTTTCCTTCACAGATCTCAAGTCAATGTTTTGTTTGAACCTGCTCATCTGGGATGTTGAATGATGTTACAGATCATAATTTTGTAAACTATCCATAATAAATAGCGCACGACAAATTTCCTACGTACATTTTAATATAAACTTTTACTAATTCTTGGAGAATGTAGCACTCGCATACCTTGTACTTTGTTCACAACCCCTTCTAATATCCATCCCTCGGGGAATGCCAAGGGCATGGCCTAGACTGCCGGTAGCAAAGGCTGTTTGTTGTGTTGGTGGTGGGGAGGGAGCAGGATGATGAAGAAAATGATGAAGAAGGGTGACATCCTTCCACAGTGTCCAGGTGACTCAGCCTGCTGTATGACTTCTCCTGGGGAGAGATGAACAGATGTATATTCATCTCTGATAGAACACGATGAAACAGCTCCTCTAACACAGCGTAGGGAACTGATGGTAACTTAGAGGGGACATGAGTGGCTCAGAGGGTAGCTGTATCACGGAGAAGCCCGTCTAGATGGTCATGGGTACCTGCCTGCTCATGACAGTTCCATTTCTCGAACTCCCTTCCAGTCAGTGCCACTGGGGAGCTGGCCTTCCCCTGTAGCACGAATAATAAAAATCCCGAGACAGATATTGGGGTGCAAGCTGAAAGATCAGAGAAGCAAAGCAGCCAGACACTAGAGAGAGCTCTTACCTCTACAAAATCTTCAGACTGAAAAGAGAGTGAGTTTGTGTCTTATCCTGCCTTATAATCATTCGTCTCTAGAGCTGGAATTAAAGGCGAGCACCACCACCACCCGGCCTCTAGGGCTAACTCGTGTGGCTGCTGGGATTAAAGGTGTGTGCCACCACTGCCTGGCCTGTGTGGCTGACTAGCGTGGCTAGCTTTGCACTCTGGTCTTCAGTCAAGCTTTATTGGTTAGATCATAAACAAAATATCACCACATCCCCTGCCCCAGCAGTGTATTGTCTTGTCTTGTTTTTATTTTATTTTATTTTATTCAAGACAAGGTTTCTCTGTAGCTTTGGAGCCTGTCCTGGAACTCACTCCGAAGACCAAGCTGGCCTTGAACTCACAGAGATCTGCCTGCCCCTGACTCCAGAATGCAGGGCGTGTCAAATGTGGTGCTTGTGCTCGTGCCTTTTATAAAAAGAAAAGATAAGCCGGGTGGTGGTGGCATAGGCCTTTAATTCCAGCAATCAGGAGGCAGAGACTGGCCGACCTCTGTGAGTTCAAGGCCAGCCTGGTCTTCAAGGGCTAGTTCCAGGACAGGCTCCAAAGCTACAGAGAAACCCTTTTTTCGAAAAACAAAACAAAACAAAAACAAAACAACAACAACAACAACAAAAGTCTAGGTTTGATAAGTTGAAAATTCTTGGTGGGAAAACACAGGCAGAGTTCTGTGAAATATTCTATCACTTTTTTTTTTCTTGGTAGGGATTTTGTGGCTCCTAAGCACCATACAAACTTGATGACTGAATTCGGAGGCTTCTGAGCAGTGGTTCCATGGGGCATACAGCAAGGGAGGAAAGGGAGAGCTAAAGTTGGGAGTGTGGGACCGCCTTTCCTTTCGATTTGCAGGGTGCACACCAGGTATTTAATCTTTAAACCAGGGCAGGCAAGGTGAGTCTGTTGATTTTGTGAATTCTTTCTTCCTTCAGTGAAAATCCTAACCTCCCAGGCAAAACCAGAAACTCTGGTAATTTCTTTTTAAAGGCAAATCGCTTGTTCTTCCTGTTTTATAATCCACCAGTGCATTCAACATTTAAATTGAAAGGAGAACGGCTTCCTTTTGCTGAGTTGAGACAGTGTCTCGATAGCTCTAGTTGTTTTGAACTATGCAGACCAAGCTGGTTTCAAACCCACGGAGATCTGCCTGCCTCTGCCTCCCCTGTGCTGAGATTAAAAGGCGTGTGCCACCACGCCTGGCTCTTAGGGAAGGCTTCTTGAAAAAAAAGTAGAGTGAGAATTTCTCTTAACTTATTTAAAGTAGCTTCTTGCATTCCTGTACATCGAAAGACTAAATGAAGGGCTTGCTAGAGAAACTCCGTATCTGGAATGTGGGAAGACTCCTACAGTGGCTAATAAGACGGCTCCATCGTTTGCATATGTAAAGGACAAACTTAAACTTGAATTTGGTATTTCACGCTGTGTCTCACAAAAAAACCCAGAAAACAAAAAACCCCAAGCTTTTATCAAAGAACCAGGCAGCCGGGCTTCAAGTGGGTGGGTGTGTACTCAGCGCGGGCGCAGAGTTGGTTTTGTTCCCAGTAGAGTTGACTTCGGCAATGGCGACTCGCGACCACACCGGGGCAGACTCTCCTAGGCTGGCCGCCCAGCCAGGCCGGTCGCTTCGGGGAGCTGACGCGGTTAGCCAAGTCTGGTCTGCCATAGCTGCCAAGAATTTAAAGGGGATCTAGAAGCATGCATCGTCGCCCTCTTTTAACGCTCCTGGGACTCTGGCTTAAGAAAAAAAAAAAAGACAGATAAAAATGGAAATAGTGATTTTGTTGTTGTTTGCACGGTGTCTTCATGGTCGCCCCCCCCAAGGTCCAGTCCACCGGGTCCCCAAGGCAGAGGGAAGCGGAGCAAGCTGGAGGGTCAGCCCGGCAGGCCCAGTCCGCCAGGGCGCGCCCCAGCTCAGCACTCCGCGCTGGGTGACCCAGGAGGCGCGGGGGTGGGGTGGGCGTGGGGCGAAACACCCCCACCCCCGCGGCCCGCCCCCCAGCTCGGCCTGTGATTGGCTTGGGGGGCGCGAGTGCCCGCCCCGGCGAGCGGGAGGGTCCCCGTGGGCGCCGGGAGGCGCAGGCGGGGCGGGGAGAGCGGGCCGGGCGGAGCAGGCGAGGGGCGGGCGCGCGGGTCCCGGGGATCGCCGAGCGGGCTTGGGGAGGCCGGGAGAGCCAGCGGCGGGGGCGGGAGCCCGGCGGGCTCAGCGCTGAGTGGAGAGAGAAAGAGAGAGAGCGCTGGGCCAAGCCGCCGCTCGGCGCGTTCTCGGAGCCGCCAGTCCGCGCGTCCCCGCAGCCTTCCGGGAGGAAGCGGCGCCGCGGCCGGGTGCAGCCTCACCTGCCGGCCCTTCCCCGCCGGGCGGCGCAGAAGGACAGAGGGTCGCGGCCCCGCGACGTACTTCAGCCGGTCGCAGCGTCTAGGACCCCGCGCGGGGTGCCGGCTCCATGGCGACCGGGCTCGGGGAACCCGTCTACGGACTTTCGGAAGAGGAGGTGAGTTCCTGCCCAGAGCGCTGTGTGGGGAAGGGACGGGGCCACTCCGCTGTGTGCGGAATCCGGGTGACCCAGAGCGGTCCCGAGCGGTGGGTGACATGGTCCTCCCTCCTCACTGGGGAGGTGCGCTCCTCGGCCCGGGGCTCTCGGGGTGGGCGGAGGCCGCGTGTGCCGCTGCCCCGCGGGTCCCTTTCCTCAGCAAGCCGCGTCTCTCGGGGCTGTTAGGCAACTTTCCTTCCTGGTCATGCCCCTGCAGCCTGGAGTCCGTGACGTGTGTCACGTTTGGGTCGCTGCAGGGGTCTCTGCGTGGCGCAGGCGATCTGGGGATTGTTGAGGAGACTGGTGGTTGTCTCCCCCTGGGACTTTTCTTGCTAGTGGGCGCTCGGTAGCGGTTGTATGCATGCAGATCCCGGAGAGAGCAGGGGACACCCGGAGAGTTGCGTGCGGCCGCCCCTGGGTCTTGCAAAGTCTGGAGCTGGGATTGTGCGTTCCGGACTCTTCTATTTTGGTGTGTGGAGGTGGTCCGAGAAGGAGGCAGGTGCTGCAAGAAACTTAGGGGAAGCTTGCAGCCCTGCCATTTCTCCCCAGTCAAGAGGATTCAAAGCCCCGCACCTCCGGGGTGGGTGGAGAGAAGAAAGCTCCATTGATCTCTTTTATTAATAAAAGGAATGAAATAAGCCACACCCCCAAACGGTCGGTTTGACTGGAGAGGGCTTTGTTTTTAAAAAACCTCACTCGCTCATCGCGGTCCCCACTCCCTCGTTTGAAACGATCCTGCTAAATCACTGCTCAGCCCTCACTCGACCAGCCATTCTCGACTCTTATTGGTGTGTTGCTCTGCCAAAAAGGGGGGTGGGAGGCCTGTCGCGGGCTCGGAGTGACAGGCAGGCTGGATGGAGCAGGTAGGAGTGGTTCGCCATCTGGCGGGGTGCGCGCCCAGGTCTGGCTCCCCTTTCGAGAGGTGAATTTACAACCCATGAAGCATTACTCAGCAGGGAGGTATTTCCTATCCTGGTTGTGCATTTCGTGAAAAGTGGATACCTGGAAATTTGGGCTTTCTCGATTTCTCTGTCTTACCCTCGCTCCTTTCTTTCTGAGGTTCCCTCTTTCTCTGGTGATGGGGGTGGGGTTTAAACAGAGTCTATTATCTGAGACAGATTCACGGTGTGGCTTTGCTTGCAACAGCTTCCCTACTGGCGTGTGTGTGTGTGTGTGTGTGTGTGTGTGGTGTGCCTTTCACAGGTTTCCTACTGTGGCATGGGGTGTGTGTGTCTGTGTGTGCATATTCTACCTAAGTGTGGAATGAAATGGGTATCTTGTGGTAGGCAGGGTGTGTAGGGGTTGATTTTATCTTTTGATAGTGCTTGCTGGATTGTTTATTTTATCAAAGAATGATCACAATGCAAATAATGTGTGATGTGTTTTTGATTATTTGCCGTGCTTGTGTAAAATAAATTGTGTGTGTGTGTGTGTGTGTGTGTCTCGGGTGCTGTTACCTGAAGATGGGTGGAAGTAGACTTGTTTTGTTTACCCAGGGGATTCTCTTCTAGCTCCTTGTCTGGAGCTGGAGGGCAGTCCTAGTTCTTGGAGGTGCTGAGATACTGACGTTCCTGAACAAAGGGATCCCTGGGTGAGGTATCAAGGGAGAAGAAGACAGCTGCGTTTCATCTTAGGGTCTCTTAATTTTTTAAAAATAACATGCTTATTTTTAAGAGCTCCTTGAAAGAAATATTTTGAGGCTGTTTTGGAAAATGCATCTGCCTGGAGGAATCCTTCCTGTCCCTGGTGCGAGCGGGCTTTGTTTACCCTGGCAGCCAGTGTCAGAATCCACGGGCGCATCTCAGCACTTTTGTCTTCGAGAATCACTGCTGATCCTGACTGGTGCTGGGTGTGAAAGTGAAGAACATAGACACAAAACCTGAGTGTGTGGGGCTTTTGCCTGTGACTGCGCCTGCATGTTGTCAGAGGGATTGTACAGGGACTAGCAAGAGGTGATAAAGACACTGTTTATCTAGGTATTGCCTTGCTGTGGATGGGTCTGTTTAGCTCCTCACACATTGGATATGATCCCACATAAGCCACGTCCGCCTTCCCTTTTCATTTTTCTCTCACCAATAGAAAAGGATTCCCTTCTTATTCCTAAGGTATCTATTTGGTGTGGAAGGGTCCTCTGCTCAGGAAGACGGACAGAATGCCTTCATGTAGTATTAACAACAAATTGTTAAATTTACCTGGTTTGTTATGTCTCCCAAATTAGTCTGTAAGCAAACAAATGGGCGTGATTAACAGGCTCTGAAAGCGGGCTGCCCAATGAAACCAACAGCACCAGAGGCTCAAGTTGTGTTAAAATAGGGAGGACAAGTGGGCTGCAAGTATCACATGAAGAGACTCGTGTTGCTGCAGAGAGGAGTCTACTTGTAGACCTCAGAAAAACAGGCACTATACCCAGGGTTATCTTGTAAATAGACTTGTGTTGTTCGTGTGTGATGGTGGTGGAAAGCTTTGTGTATTTGGAATGAACTTAGTCCCATCCCAGCTCAGAAAGCCACGGTGAGCTCCGTACTGCTATTGGTCAAGCATGGTGCTAACCTGGAGCATAGCAGGATGCCAGAGCCAAGACATTACGGCTTGGGGCATCAGCCTAAGGTCCGGCTAGGGTACTGAATGAGAAGGATGAAGGATGCAGGATTTGCTCTTGTGGGCGTATGCGCTATGTATGCATTGTGGCTGAATTTCCTTGGGTGATTTCGAATTCATAGTCTCTCTTATTTAAAGGATGTCAGTTTCAGGAACCAAAATCGAAATTACCGTCAATTGAGTTTTGGTATTAAAGGGATTAGCTAATGAACAACAGTTCAAATTCATGGGTGAGGATCAGCTTTGGTTTAGAATCAGAAAGGTTTGGACTCGTTTCTGCATCTGGCTTGGGTCCTTGAAGGGCTTTTTCTTGTTTGAATTTATTTGTGGCCATCTGCAGCCTATTTTGGCATGGTTTACTCAGGAATATTATTGTTACTCTTTGGAATCTTTCATTACACCTGAGAAAGGTATCATTTTTGGAGATTTTTCTATTGGATAAGATATCAAGAGTTTGAGTGACAGCCTTCGGAAGAGATTAGCTGTGGTGTCCCAGCACATAGAGACAGAGGAAGGGATGGGGAGCTTGAGGCCAGCCTGGCCTAAGAGCCAGAACCTTCTCAAAAACAAACAGATGAACCATGAAACAAAAATCCTACAGCCCCAAACGAAACAATAAGATAGCTCACTTAGACATTAGTGTTTCTGGAGGCCAGAAAGAGGCAAATGGCATAAGAGTGAAGGTCAGGCTGGTGTAAGATGGTACTTGGATATACCTCATCTTCCATATAAACAACTGTGTATCATTTAACATGTGCTTCATTAAGGACTCTTGAGGTATGCTGTCATTTCTGGCTGAGGAATGGAACCTAAGAGAGCTCAAATGAACTGTGTGAAAACATTCAGCCAGTGGGTAGGCCTGTTGGCCTGAGAGCCCGAGTTCTTTTTTTTTTTTTTTTTTTTGGTTTTCGAGACAGGGTTTCTCTGTGGTTTTGGAGCCTGTCCTGGCACTAGCTCTTGTAGACCAGGCTGGTCTCGAACTCACAGAGATCCGCCTGCCTCTGCCTCCCCAGTGCTGGGATTAAAGGTGTGCACCACCACCGCCTGGCGAGAGCCCGAGTTCTTAAAGTTGCTCCCCACTCTCCCTCTTCCTTCAGGCGCCTTGAAAGGTTTGCATAGCTAGATTATCGTGCAAAATGAGCTAAACGTTTTGGGTTGCAAACAAACACTCCTTGACCAAAATTGAGTGCTAACTCTCGTTAGTGTGGTCTCCATACTGTGTTAAAGCCTGGGAGAGTTCATGAAAATGTTGAGAAGTGCGGCTTCTCTGGGTGACAGTCTCACCTGGCAATAGCTAGCGCTTTTCTGTGCTTCTCCTGTGTGGCAGTGTGTTACCACCCTCAGAGCTCTTTGCTCTTTGTGATCTTAAGGGTCTCTACTGATTTGTACGTAATTATACCGTTGCTAATGTACACTTAAAGGTTAGCCCTAGATAGCTAACCAATATGATTGGTTTCATTTTAAGGCCCTGACCATCTTAAGATGTATCATTATTCTATGTGCTACTAAAAGAAAAGCAAAGATTGCTGTCAAGTTAAGACATGCTGTCAGTTTTAGTAGGTATCTTTATTTCATGGATGTTAAAATGGGAAACAAGGATATTTCAGAGCTGATGAGTTCTTTTAGAAGAGTAAACCTGGTGGCTTACTCTAAGCGGTTGGCTTCAGAATCTCTAGTAGTGGAAGTTTTTTTTTTTTTTTTTTTTTTTTTTTTTCATTTTTGTTAGGTTCAGAGCTTTGCGTATTAAGCAGATACTTTGCCATTGAGACTGCAGCTTCGGGTTAGCCCTTTCAAGATTTCCACATCTCTGTCCATACCTGTACCTGCATCCGGGCAAGACTTAGAAAAAGAGGAGTAGTCTCAGCTGAGTAGTCTCCGCTGAGCATAGCAGAGGAGAAACCAGAGCCTCCATGGTGCCGCACAAACAGCCATCTGTGAGCTCGTTCCTAAAGTGACTGGTCAAACCCCGCACACCATCTTGGCAGTTGTGGGAGACATTCAGGACAAGACCGCTGTCGGACGTCACTGCGTGGATAATGTTTGTGTCAGAAGGTGTGGGGGTGGCTAGACTGTCTTCCCAGTCAGAGCATCCTCAGTGCTGGGTCAGGGTTAAGCTCCTTCATATGCTGCGTACCCAGGGCCGGGCCACCGTGTGGATCGTTTGTGGCAGAGTTGCTGCACATTAAGAAAGTAAAACAGAGCCATTTAAAGACTGTGTGTTTTTTGCAGTGCTAGAGCTTGAAGCCTCGGCCTCATCCCTGTGAGGCCGGCCGGCTCCCACTTGTGGGCAGACAGAATGGTGTTTTAAATCCCCTCTTCAGAGTTTTAATTTTCACCAGGAATGTTGTGTCCCCAGCTGTGGT